GGTAAACCGTAAAACAATAGTGTCTCTAAATTTTCATATGGCTATCTTCGAACATTTGATTAGTACCCAACAATTTTTTAAAATAGATATGCAATCGTTAGTTGATTTTATAGATCTATTCAAACATCTGATTAGTGCCTATCGATTTTAAAAATGTTGAGAATATGTAATACTGATTTGCTCGTTCGTTGATTTCATGGTTCTTGTTTGTTTGTTTGAGATCGGGTTCTACTCATTACGTAGTGTAGCAAGCAAAGGGACAAAACTACCCATGTGCTTGATACAACCATGCCTACCATACACACTTAGTGGCACACACAAAACTTGTCTATGTATACCATAATGATTCTTGATCATTTTTCTGTCTTCATTTCATTTCAAGGTCTATAATTTCTTGGATCAATGTTCAATAATTTGATAGCCACATAAGGAATAATAATAATGGTGGTTATGAGGACAAGTTTCCCTAAATAGATGCTTTTGGCTTTTGTAGTTTTCTTCCACCATTTTTTCAACAGAGTTTCCTCATTTGTTTGTGAAAGGTTGGTTTGTGTCACGAATCATTGAATGATATAAAAAAAAAGGACTTACTCTAGAGAGAGTTATGCAAAATGAATTGATAAAAACAAAATCAAATATATATCGTCGGCTTTTCTTGTTCAGCATTATCTTGAATTCTTGATCTATATAAAACACAAGAATAGGTAAAACTGATAAGATAATCAAACTTCTTATTCCATGACCTTTTGTGTTTCACCATAACATTTGTAACCAAAATATTTGTTATAAAAAAAAATACATAACTATTACTTGGTGAGTATATACATAGTTGATTATACTAATTATGAATTTTGATCGTAGCTAGAAAAGTAACACTTGCCTTACATTTTACCCTTGTAGCTAAAATCAACATTTGCATTCATTGTTTACACTATGTAAAAGGGGAACCAAAACTTGCTGCTTACTTCATTCAAGATCTTCAATTTTTCTTCATATATATTGAAGTTACTATTTTTGTATGAGAA